TCAAAAATACAAAGCAAGATGTCTTTATATAGCTACACCACAAAACACACACTAAAGCACGCACATTTAGTAGATAACTCTCGACCACGCTACAATTTCCGCGAGCACGCGAGCAGGGATGTGCACGGGCGCACTGGGTGCGCCACACTCTCGACCTCGCGCTCATTTCCGTGAGCATGCGGGCAGGCGGACGCACGGGCGCGCACGGCAGATGGCGACACTCTCGTGGTCGCGCGCGGATTCGCGAGCTCACGGTGTGTACGGGCTGCTGGGGGAACTCTCGACCTCGCGCTCGATTCCGCGACCGCGCGAGCGTGCACTGCGCTGGGGACGTGCGGAGCTCTCGAGCTCGCGCCCGTTTCCGCGAGCGTGCGAGTATGAATTGCGCTGGGGACACGCGGGGCTCTCGAGCTCGCGCTCATATCTGCGAGGGCGTGAGTGGGGTAGGCGGCGTGCGGCAGCGTGCGTGCGTGCGGGCGCGGGGCTCGGTTCGTGTTTGATTCTTCATTTCGCTCTATCTTCTCGCACCGGACTCCGATTCGCCCGCAACTTGGACCAAAATTCTTGCCTTTGAATGCTCTTCCTCCGGGTATGGTTTGGTCAGGATATCCAGATCGGATGGCTCGGTCGGCTCGGATGGCTCATCTCCATGAGCGCGATGAAATGGACCTATTCAACACCAAAACAAAAGAGAAAACGCGCAAAAATACGAAAACACTATACACTAACAAAAATACACAAAACATGATAAAATGGACCGGTCGAGCCTAAAAACAGACCTAAAAACCACAAAATAGAACACATAAAACACAAGAAAATAACGACAAAAACACAATAAACAACTCCCCCACACTTAGCTTTTTGTTTGTCCTCAAGCAAACAAAATAACAAATAGCTCAAAGAGATAAATCGAACGGTCCAAGATTAACGAATATGCAAAATGAAACTCTCATTATCATTCGGTTATCCCAAAATCAAAATTCAATCCGAGACACGGTTCCAACATAATGAATTAAACGAAACAAAAACTCGTCCCAAGTCATCCCACAAATGATTGCTCGAGTCAAACTCCCTCATTCACATATACGTGCAAAAACCATAAATGATCTACAAAACATGAAATAATAAGCACGAGATCAATAGGCCAACTCCCCGATTTTCTTCTTTTTTTTAATGAGCCACTTTTTCCAAATGAGAGCCGTTAGGACGATTATTACCTAGGTTTAACCTCAGGGGTTATTCCCGAGTTGCCTAGGCCAGTTTCCCGTGCTCGTTGACTTGATCTCTCTAGAAGATTAACCGAGCCAAGAGGAGCCTAATCCCTTCGACTCCCACGAACTCATTTCGTGAGCTTCTTTTTCCAAACGAGAATTACAGACGAGATGATCTAGGTTTAACCTCGAGGGATCTCCCCGAGTTTCCTAAACTGGTTTCCCGGGCTCATTATCCCAATCCACGAATGGCTCGGAATAAGAGGAGCCTAATTCGTACTTCTTCGCGAACTCACTTGTTATTCTCTTTTTTTTTTTTCTTTTTTTTTTCT